CATATATTAATTTTCTCAAACTTTACATTCAATCATTGTTTTACAATTACATCGCAATTCTAGTTTAATTTGCATGCTATTTACAATTTCATATTAAAATCACAAAAACTACCAAATTGAGTTTTATAGTTTCGGTTAAGGTTACAATAATAGAAATTAGATTAGATCAATCCTCGTGGGAACGATACTCGAAATTTTACAATTTCCACTTTATTACTTGTCAACGAACCGTACACTTGCGGTGATATAATTTCGAAACATATTTTCGTGAACAAGTTTCAACATTTTCTTCACCATCTTCAACATCTGTCTCATGATGAAACTCATCAGTTTCACACTTTCACTATCAGTATGACCCACCTTAATTTCAATATCTCTTTCACTTTTATTTGTCTGAATGTTAGGGTTAGTTTTTCTTTCAATTTTAAGACGAAGTATTTCATTATCATTAAATACTACATTTCTGCTTATAATGACTTTAAAGCCTCTAGTTTCCTTTACCCATAGTTTGTACCCCTTCACCATAACCTAGGAAGAAATACACTTTAGTGCCCTAAGCTCTAATTTGCCTTTATACTAAATGTAGCACAAAATCGAATCACGAACGCTCAGGAAAAAATCGTCCAAATTTCATTGTATAACTTGAAACAGAAAACTAACAACACCAAATAGTTAGAAATCACGTTAGGTCCGTAAACAACGAGATATACGAATTTACTACTTTAGGTCCACCATTAGTCACCCTAAATTCTCCAGCAAATGTAGCAACCAATCGAGCACAAAATCGAATCACAAATTTCACTGTATAACCTGAAACAGAAAACTAACAACACCAAATAGTTAGAAATCACATTAGAAGTATTATGCCTGAAGAGAACTCCCTCAGGCGATTTCGGACGCACTTCCACGCACCTCCACCGGAATCTTCAACGAGCCGCCGCCAGCGATCGTCACCACCACGCGCACCTGCAGAGTCTGCTTGTGGTTTTGGATTCTTCAATCGGCCACTGATTTTGTGAAGAAAAATTGGACAGATTATTCTATCCATCTTTCTGCCAGTTTTTGGTCGAATCTTCGCCGAAATTCACACACCACCACGGCTCTGATACCAAATGTTAATCAGAAGAATGGCCACCTAAGGCTTTCGGGCTCAATTTGTCATAAACCATCGAGATCGACACCACCAAATCGCAACCCAATATCCTACAACCTTTACCCAACTCCTGTTACTTTTGTATTGCCCACAAAGGACACAAGTTGAAAGGTTATTGTAGCCACACAGCAACCACAAAGGCTAAGAGAAATGAGGAGGAGAACACTGCAATAGGAAGCACAAAGCCGAAAATGAGCATTCGATTTTCTCTAAAAAATGGTGTCTTGGGCAATAACGTATCTATCTCAATACAAAAAGGCTCCCAATATATAGTAGGAAAAAAAATCATATTTAAGGTGTTTTCTTTACCTCAATTCAAAAATAAGGTAAATAGTTTAAAAATTCAAAAATCAGGTATTTATTTAATTAATTAAAAATATTTATTAAATAAAGATAAAAAAGTCACATTTTGTGATTAATGGTCACATATTCATAATTTTATGGAATTGTGTAATTTCCTCTATATAGTACTATATTAGGCTTTAGGTTAGGTAATGGATTGGGCCCAAAAGGGAAATAATAGATAACCAATAAGTGAGTTAAACACCAAAAGCCATTCAAGGAGTGAAGGGTCGGGTAATGAGCAGCTATAATTAAATTAGACGACTTCCAATGGCCCAAAATAGTTATAGGCTCAGGTCGTTCCATTTGAGATGTCGATATTTCACTTTAGTCATTTGGTTGATATCGACTGAATAACTAATGATTTAATATCATAGATTGAGAGGTCATTTGACAACAATTTGCCCAACACTTCAATGCACGACTATGTCACCACACTTACTAGCAAGGTCTGCTCCAAAACGTTAGTGTGAATATTAGAAAGTGCACGTAGAACATAATCAGGAGAAGAAAGTCCAAGCATAAGAATATTTGGCCTGAATCAACAACTTTTCCTTTTGATTTTTGCTCTTGAAAAATCACAAGCTTTGTTGAAACCAAACTTGAAACATCGTATTTGAATCGACTAATATCAATAATCAGGTCACTAGACTCACTACACAAGTTAAATTCCTCTTCCTCTTGGCAAGGGGGCTCATGAATGAAGAGGGAAAAAAGTGTGAGACTTTGATACTAATCTTCTATATCAGAATATAGAATGTGGCACATAGTGAATGAAATAGCAAGACTTTGCATAACTCATATTCAGCAATACGCTTCAGTTCTTCTTCGCCATGTCTAATGCTTTCAATGATTGAGTCCGTTGTATTAACAGTTTCTTGAGTTTTCTTCCCTGCTAATGCCACAGCTCCTTCTGGAAGTTCTTCCTTTGGCACATACCTATTCTCAAACGCATTGCCAATGTGAGCTTCAAATATCTCTTCCAACCTATTCTGTCTCTTCCTGCAAATAAAATCGAAATTATGGTTTTCCCAGTGAAAATTAGGTCATGTTTGAGCCCTCCCCCCCACTTTTTTTTTTAAGAATGTGTGGTTAAAAAGTAGGGAAATATTTTATGTTTACATGTAAAATTATCTTATGGGAGAATGTGTGGTTGAAAATAAGTAAGGAAAAAATAGAGTTCAAACATATGCTTAATGAAAGGATAAATCTCCAAGTACTGGGGATTTACAGGTCCCTCACAAAGGGGTAGGCCCCACATGTATTTAAAAAATAATAATAATGAGGGTCATACCCATGTGTGTTGCCTGGCAGGGACTTGTGAAAAAGATCCCTATACTTGCAGCATAACTATACCCTAAAAATGCTGTGAGTACAGAAAAATTCAACAGAATTTTGAATTTTACTCACATGGGGGTGGGTCCCATGTGAGTAAAAAATTGATTCTTTTACCCACCCCCACCCCGATGTGTCTATCCTGTATATGTACATGAATTCAAATTCATGTACCTATAGCAGAATTCTATTTACCTTCTGGCTGACAGCTACCACTAAAACATCATCATTCATTCTCAAATTCCTCACTGGAGACACTGCTGAACGCTTAGAATCCTGTCAACCACACAAAATTAATACATCAATGGAGCATACCATTTCGCAATAGCAATACTATAACAATGTATTAGAATAGAAACCAAGTTAAAGGTCCAGCAGTATGGTACAATAAACAGTCAGAAGTTATTCAATCAAAGAGAAAAGCATCAACCTAACAAATTATGAAAGGAAAAAGCAGAAGGGTCTAAAAAAAACACTTGACCAGGCTTTTGAGTGGTTTGATACTCCCAAAACTTGACATCATGATCCGTAATCCCGGTGACAAATCCATCAGCAGTTGCAGCAATAGGCTGAACAGAGCCACCACGAGCTTCAACTACTTCCATACAAGTACCATTTCGAACGTCTATAATTTCTAGTGTACCACCTTTTGTACCAACAACTGGGGACAAATAGACCACACAATCCATATCCTGAACCAATAGTTCTGAGGCAAGAACCGGCACTCAGATTCCATATTTTAATTGTACTGTGACTTGTTGACATCAAAAGAGTATCATCTGAGCTAAGTGTGAAACTTTTCATACCAGAACAATATCCCTGGAGCTCAATGGCACTTAATTTTGTGGTTGAAGTACTCTCAGTTGAATAAACTTCCAATAAATTATTGTTAAGAGACAATGCTAAGGTAGCCAAAAAGCATCTTGAAGTGATTGGAGAAAAAAAAATGGAGCATATCTTCTTGATGGCTCGAACAGTCTGCAGGAGCTTAAAGATATCAAGAACAGTAACAGTGATTGAAGTCGAAAATTTAACTACCGCAATCAAAAGAACAAAG